GAATCCATCGGCCCGTGACGAATTGCGCCCGTGCTCAACAATCGGCGATAGACTTCCTGCGGATAGAGAGACAGCTTAAACCGGAAACCGGTTCCTCACAGAAGGGGGGAGGGGGGCGTAAAGAGTCAATAGATCGATGCCAGACGCAATTTGACCGACTATCGTCCCAGGGGGAGGGGAGATAAAATTCGATGAATGCCCCTTCCCCTTCCTCCTTCTTCTGAAGATTCGATAGATGGAGAAGGAAGGAAGGAAGGAAGACGTGGATAATTCGCGCCACGCGCTTTGTCCTAGCCAAGAATTTCCTCGCGATTATTGCGAGCTTCGAGTTTCGAAGATGTTTTTCCTCGATTATATAGATGTTTGCTCACCGGAAGTTTTATAATCCTCGATCGATTGCAAATTATCATTTCTCTAAATCGAAACGAAATTTTTCAGATTAAATATATTCTGTTAAACGGAGTTTCTATTTTTTTCGAAAGCGGTCTTCATAATCATTCAAGCTTCTCTCGATGAATAAGAGTGATATAAGTAAGAGGCAAAGAATTTCGCGCGCTCGATCGAGGTATAATTAATTTCTCGGAGAAAAGATCGAAGGATATCCTTTTTCCAGAGATATCTCGCGATCGAGAAACACGATCCCCTTCCAGAGCTCGCTCCTTGGATCGGTGGAGATGATTTAAACGGGGATGAAAATTTGACAGGGCGCGTGACCATGCGCCCGTCTTTGAATATCAGCATTCGTAACAGTGCCGTATCAAGCGGGAAATTTACCCCGCTCGAATTGCACCCGATCCCTCTTTAATTTAAAATCGGCCCATTTCACACCACCCACGCCCACGATTCGCAATGCTGACGCGTGATGCTGACCCACTTGCCTCGATTCTTCCGCCCTATCCAGCGTCGATCTCATCTCTCTCCCCAAATCCAGCTATGATCCCGATTCGTCGAGATTAATGAAATAGGAAATATGATTAAGTTATCAGGCGGGACTAATTTTTATTCCTAGCTCCATACATTGGCGACAAAGTGCATACGCGCGACGAGTAACGGATAAGAACGCAGGGGGTGGAAAAATGGCAGGAGAGCAATATGCTGAAAGCACGAGAGGAGGAGATAGATGGGATTGAGAAACGTGAAATGGCCGTCGCGACTTTCAATTTTTTCCTCCCGTAACAATGTCAGAAAACGCGTCGATCGTTTTTATAAGAAAAAGAAAAAGATATAAAAGTGAAATGTAAGATGAGGAGGGGAGTGCAAATACACTGACTTCTACGAATTTCGATATATTCGATATATTCTTTGATATCGAAGAAGGATAAAGTTCAGTTCGAGTATTAAATATTATATTATTCGTGTAATTAATTTAAATAGAATTATTATTATTATATTTCAAGGAAAACAATAACTTTCTCCGATTCATCTTTTTTCGAAATTTCTTTTTTGTTAATGAATTATATACAAAGGGAAATAAAACGGGTATGCAAGAGAGAAACAAAAAAAAAAAAAAGTTTCGTGAAAAGAATTTTTATTTCAACGGTCAGAATCGTATACATCCGAATACAATGGAAACACGTGGAGATACGATAAAAATTCCTGCTCCATCGAATTTTTCTCTCCTCCTAGCTGCTGCTATTTATTTTTAATTCAAACTATCGTTTTTTTCATTCTTTTTTTTTTTTTTTTTTTTTTATTCTTTTTAAATTCTTCCCTTTCCGTTTCTCGACGAATTTAAACGAAAGACGTGATAATTGACGAATTAATATTTACATCGTTACGCGCTCGCGCGCGTAGTAATTAGCGACGACCATTGCGACGTTGCGAGAGAAATGAAAATTTCGGTTGTGAAAAAAAAAAAAAAAAAAAAAAAAGTGTGACGCTTGAAACTTTCAACTCTGACGAATTAAGGTAGGAGCGAATTTTACGATATCGTTATAACGAATATTCTCGTCGAAAACTGTGTTTGAACGAACTGCTGCGCATCATATTGCCCGCCGGAAAGATGGAATTGCGTGAACACGTTTGGAAAGGAGAGGAGCTCAGTTTCAAGAGAGACTTGGTATTTTTCACTGAGTTATTGTTTAAATTATACATCTTGACAAGTCGTGCAACGAATATGTTTTGCTCTTGATGCTTGGCGAAGTTCGAATAATTTCGAACAGGTTTCTTCACAAAGGTTTCTTTTTATACGCGCAATAGATACCTTGAATAAAGATAAAAAAAAAAATCGATATTTATCATCACTCGTCGTCGATTTACTTTTTTTCGAATTCCGAAATGAGTAATAATAATTTCAATTTTCGAAAATAATACACCACGTTTATCAACTTTTATTAATTTTTCCATTTATTATTATATATATATATATATCGCGCAATTTATGATATTACGACAGCTTAATTTAACGTTCGTACGTAAGTACATTTAGTTGAACTGTATATTTTGCGTTGAATTATGAACCGTATAACGAGTGTTCCCGCTTTCCCACCAGAGAATTAAAATGAAAACTTCATTCAATTTGTCCGTTTCAAAATTCAAAAAAAAGCTTTTCAAACGTTAATCATATAATATTTTTACTTTTTTACGTCGATTCGTTTAACAAAAAAAAAAAAAAAAAAAAATTAATAAATAAAAATATTCATACGGTAAATAATATAAGTAATAAAAATTCGATAAAAAATGTGTTCGTAATCCATCAATTTTATATTTAAAAAAAATATTTCCTGCGATAGTACAATATTTTTAATTCCTGTTTTTTTTTTTTTTTTTTTTTTTATATATAAAATTAAATTGACCGTATCCTTTAACGTACACTTATCATATCGATTTCATATTATTACGTGATGATTTCGAAATCTTGATGATATTACTTGATATTTATTTATATCGCATTTATATACTCGTTCCTTATTTTGATGAGATAATATAAAACATAAGACTTTCCCGTGGATCTATTTTCCCTCCTCCACTTTCGCTCCCGTTTGCCTCCATATACATTGGATTAACAATCAGCTTTGCACTTGTTAAGCAACGAAGTGGAACAACAACTGACCGGGTTTTCAGGATTAGATCGAGTTCCTTCAAGTGCCAGAAACTATTTCACGCGTAAAATCTTTGTTTGTTGCGTTTTTTTTTTTTTTTTAATTAAATTCCGAACGAGATTTACTTTCGATGAATCGAACGATTCTCGAATAATATGTGAACATAAAACAAGCATAAAAGTTAGTTTAGTTTCAGTGATGCAAGAAAATTTGTTTATTTGTGGGGAATAAATGGAAAATTTACAAATAAATAAATAATGAAAAATATTATATATCTACATTTGTACATTTAATTGTACAATATACTTCAACAATTGCACGATATCAAATAATTTTATAATTTTCTCACCCCTTATTATTGAATTTATTTTGAACATGAAATCTTAATCGGCGCAATGTTAAATTCACGTCAAAATTAAATTCAATCTAAATTTAATTACGATCCATTCCATTTATTAGTCGTGTTTAATTGCTTGTTGAACGACACACTTGTCATATGTATGTATTTCCACGGGAATTATTTTTATCCCCGCGATAAAAGAGCTAAGCGCGATATAACGAGGAGGGTATCATCGGTCCCAGCGTCTAGGGATCACTGGAAACGCGCAAGTTATTTATACACTCTTCTTTTCACCTTATACAAGCCGCTAATTTTAAACGTTCATAAATTTCTTTCGTTTTTCATAAAGTTCTAGATAAGCGAAATTACGTCCGAAATTACGGGAGGAAAGGGGAATTTTCGAACGAAGAACAAAATTCCTCGATTTATAACGTGACCTAGATACATCGAGCATTTGATATCGCTCTGTAATGTCTTGCATACATCGGCCTTCTATATATTCATATGTAACACCTAGAATATCTCACCTGTCTACATGTTACATTACGAAAATAGATCCCACTGTAATTTTCTATTACAAATCGATCCAGAGTCCAAAATTTATTCGTACATTATTAAATTAGCGTATGCGATCGTAACGTTCGAATTTAAACGAATAAATAATCGAATTAATTTTTCATGAAACGATAACATTATCATTAACAATAACATATAATAAAATGTCAAAATAATCGTTCAAAATTTTCATAGACATAACGCCTGATAAGTACACGACAAGTTCCCATAGGTGCATAAATCGAAAGAACGATGTGTATAGATAGAATCTACACGAGGTAAAGACGCTTCCTTTCGTCGTGCGCAGGCGGCGCTGGGATCGCAAGGAAAAGCCACGAACTAATGTAAATTCATGTTACGTTCTCGAAAATTACGAACGATATCAAGTGGGACACCACTGTTAGATCAACCACTGTGGGACACTTTGTCTCGTTACAACGTGGCCGTGTATCCATCAACAAATAATTTTTAACAAAAATTCCCAGCACGGTTTAACTTCCTATTTTTTCATTGAAATTTATCCGTTTTTTTTT